TATTTTAGGATTAGATGATAGATCTGTAGGCTAAAGACTTCAGAATGGTCTCTGGATTCTAGTAGTTTTTACGTTCCTCTCCCGAGCTATCCGCATCGTCGTGCCGCGATCGAAAGGGCCCAACAAAACCCCCTCAAAGATACTGCTCTATGCCTCGTGTCTATAAACCTTGAGAGAACGACTAGCATGCGGCCCTGCCGCCGGTCTCCGGAGAGAGTTTTGTACGGTGTACCTGTTCGCCAACAGTAGATGGATATATCTAATTTATTTACCTTTGAGTAACTTATGGAAGTAGATAATTATATATAAGAATTAGCTATTATAAGACTTATTAGATACCCTACTTATTTAGAGCTCGCAAGTCTAGCGGAAGTCTTAGATTAGGGTTTATATAAGTAGTGAAGGCCTCTTAATACCCCTAGTTATATTATCTTATTAATTTATACTTATATATATAGGGAGGGCTCGATAGTAGCGAATAGTCTTAATATTATAGAATCTAGGACTTAAGTAGGCTAATAACTATTATATTAGCTTTATTATTAACTAAATAAATAAATATTTATAAATAGGACTAAATAACTTAATCCGATACCTATATTTGACTTATTTAGTTAGGGTGTAGCGCTGACCTAGACCTACTAGCATGACTAGGACTTCATAGCTATAGCGGACGGCACAAATACCCAAATCAGCTATAATCAGAGTTCGTCTAGTTTCACTCGTCACCACTATCATCATCACCATCACCACTACCACCATTATTACCACCAACCAGATGGGTTTCATCAGCAGAATGCATCAGAAGTAGCCCCCGATCTTCAGAGTGGTACGGATTTCAGCGCTGTTGTGAGTTGAGATTCGGGGAGAACAACAGTGTTAACTGGAGGCTTGTGCTATGAGGCGGGCAGAAGAATAGCGAACCATTTCTTTGGCGAACAAAATGAAAGTTTCGCTCTCCATAACCAGCATTTGTACTCCGGCAATTCCAGGTTGGAGAAAACGACCCCCTTATCGGGGGTTGGCATGAGGTTTGTTTTTCAGGGATGGACAACATCGCTCTACATAGCGGTAATAAATAGAACTGATTTTCCAATGGCAGTATCGTTGGTCCCGGCTGCTTCGCTGGCAAGGCAAATGTCCCCTTGATGGCGACCCAGCCGGCCTACCGGTCGCTTCCATTAGAACACTTCCATAGGCTGCGATGTAATGGGTCCCGCTGGCTGACGCCAGCAAGATGAGAGGGCGAACTGGTAGGAGAAATCGTACCTGTTTGCCTTCGTTCAGATCCCAGTCCCGCAAGTTCGAAAGACAAGGCAACTTGGGAGGCTCAATGTGTCAAAGCTTGAATTGCAAAGAGGCCGCCTAGCAAGTCTTTCTTTGCTATAGTTCTGTCTCAGTTTCACACTTTGTCTGATCCAACTCCGTTCATGACCTTTCGAGAACACTTTTTTCTTTCTCCACCTTTTCGCTTATAGTCTGCTTCTCCCACATGGCACAATACTTTCCCCTCAACGCAAGTAAGTCGTTGTGAGTGCCGCGTTCGGCGATTTTCCCTTGATGAAGCACAATGATCTGCTCTGATGTCGTGATGGTAGACAGACGGTGTCTATTGGGAGTCAGTTGTTGAACAAAATTGACGGAATTGTAGACTAACGCGATTGTGATGGTTGTTCGACCGGATGTGACTTGTTCCAGAGCATCTTGAATCTGTCTCTCGGTATGTGAGTCAAGGGAAGCTGTAGCCTCATCCAACAGCAAAATCCGGGCGTCCTTAAGTATAGCTCTCGCAATGGCAACCTATGGATTTCAGTATGAATTCAATATGAGGGGGGCAGGAGCTTACGCGCTGGCGTTCTCCCCCGGAGAGTTTCAGCCCGCGTTCTCCAACCTTGGAGTCGTATCCATCAGGGAAGTCGAGAATCCGGTCGTGGATGTTGGCCGCTTTGCACGCCGTGTACACATCGGCCTCTGTGGCTTCAGACTTGGCATAGAGGAGATTATACATTATGCTAGCATTGAACAAAACAGTGTCTTGTGGAACAACGCCGATATTCCAGCGAAGGCTGTCAAGCTTGAGGTCCTTGATGTCGTGCCCATCAACGGTGATGGAGCCACTCGATACGTCATAGAAGCGATAGAGAAGCCGCAGGCAGGTTGATTTGCCGCTACCAGATTCTCCCACAATAGCGGTTTTGGTTCCTGGAGCTACAGTAAAGCTGATGCCTTGCAATACAGGCTCACCTTTCTTACTTTGGTACGAAAAACCTACTTCATTAAAGGAAATTGCACCGCGAGGCTGAGGCAGCGTGACGGCATCCCTCTTCTCGACGACGCCTGGCGTTTCCTGAAACTACGCGCCAAATTAGTGGCACATCAGTGTTGAAGGGGAGGATATGGTACCAAGTCGAGCAGCCTCTCAGCTTCGATGAGGTTATTCTGCAGCATGTTGTAGTAGGTTCCAAAGAAGTTGAGAGGACCCTGAAGTTGGACAAAGTAATTGATGAGGCTGACAAAGTCGCCAACAGACTGCTCGCCGATGCAAATTTTGTACGCAGAGACGCCGACGAGAAGAGCCGTCCCCAGTGTGAAAATTGAGCTTTGTGTGAGATTCAGCCCATTGAGAGACCACTGAACCAAGCGCTCTGCTCGCTGGAAGATGGCAACATGTTCTCGGAATCTTTGCGTCTCCCGAGACACTGCACAATTGTGCTGCACCGTCTCGTACGCAAGGATGGCATCCGTCTTGACAGCTTCCATCTCACGCGTCTTTATCGTCATGTCGCGTCTCTGCCGGCCGCGGTACTTGGCCACGTAGATGGTCAAGAAGATGTAGGACCACATGATGAAGAAGACGATAATGGTGTAAAAGGCGTCGTACTTGATAAAAAAAGATGACGCCGGCAACGAAAATGTCAAAGACCATCGGGAATACCTGGAAGCAGAAGCTTTCGAGGAAAGTATTGATGGCGGCTCCCCTGCTCAGCGCGCTCGTCACCTCGCCGATCTTCTTGTTCAGATGAAACTCCAGCGAAAGGCCCAGAACGTGCTCGAAGGCGGCGGTAGATAACCGGCGGAAGAGAGATTGAGACACAGGAATCCAAAGAACAGAGCGAGCTGCGCCAATGGCACCTTGATTACCCTGCAGGGCGCGGTAGACGACGTAGAGTATGATCTCTTTATATGGCAGGCGACCCTTTCCCAGTGAGTCCACCAGGACTCCGAGCTGAAGCGGAGCTAGGACATTGATAGTGCGTTGACAAAGTAGGAGGAGCATGCAGAAAACTACAATTAGTTGATATGTCGGCGAGTCTTTGGGCCTGTGTCTATCAGCGATGTTGGACCAAAGGGTTGTCTTTTTGTTTACCATAGGTACGGAAACAGGACTTTGAAGCCCGTAAAGTAGTCAAGCCAGCCAGTTCCTGACACCTGAGTCCGTATGGCTGACCTTGACGGCATGTTTGGGACACTGGCGTAGCCATTGTCATTGCCATTTGCTAGGAGAGACCGCTGCTCATCGGCGGTCGTCGACTCCAGATGCAAGGGACCAATTCTGTAGTCCCTGAGACACAGAGTTGCAGTCATGAGTACAATAATCGCAATCCTAGTCAAGCTGAGACCCTCGATACCGTTAACGAAGCCTCTGGATACTCGCAGTGTGTCTTGGCCGGCGGCGAGGGTAGCGGTGATTACAGCCTCTGACAAAGCGCCCACTACCCATGCAAGCCTATGTGGACTGCCGGGAGACCAAGGCCCCTCCGGATCAGGCAAAAGACCGGACAAGAAGTAAAGTAAGACTCCAACATGGGAAGCCTGCAATTTTGGTCAATGAGAGGCTTAAAAGGCGAGTTTCGGAAGTGGACTAACCAAATACGCGCTGAAGCCGAAGTCAATCCTGCCTTGAAAATTTTGTCGGGTTGCGACCGCCTCTCGCACGGCAAGGATAATGCTCGATAGAAGCAGTAAGCCAAGAATCAGTTGAAGAAGCCAGATGACACGGGCGTGTGATCGCTTCAGGCCTTCGATGTCATGCTTGGTGACCTCGTCTCGAAGCGCGACGTGACGCGTTTCGCGGTTTCGATTGCGAAAGTATTGAATGAATTGGGCTCCTAGCAGTGCCACAAACAGGAGGCAAGGATACGCATAGAATGCGATGTTGAGCGCCAACTCTCCGCTCGCCATTGTGTAAATTTCCGATGTTTGTCTCATGGGTCTCGGGGTGCAAGTCCGGTATCACTGTTGACGCAGACTCGGCCATGCCCGAAATTTGAGCACTCATGAGAATGACTAAGCGTCCGGGTCGGTCGGTACTATACCCATGACGCATTAACTAGGCAGACGACGTTCAATAGGAAGAGGTTTAATAACTTCTTCTAATTTAATTCCTTAAGAGAGGAAAAAAGATCTAACTTATATAATCTAAACCTTATATCTATTATTACCCTTAAGCTTCTAGAAGGATAGCTTAAAGGAACCTTTATCTATAGCTAGAGAATATTAGAGAGGGTTTTATAATATAGTAAAATATAGAATATTAATATGAATTATTTAAGAATAGGAAGAGGCATTATAATACAAAGTATATTTATTAAGAGGGCTTCACTACTTATATAAACCCCAATCTAGTACTTCCACTATACTTGCGAGCTCTAAATAGGTAGGGTATCTAATATAAGGCTTATAATAGTTAACTCTTAATTATCTAATACTATCTCTAAGTTACTACTACCTATATAACTTAGATATACCTATCTACTTTAGCGATTATATAAGCTATAGTTTACGTACTCCTAAGAGTAATAGATCCTAGATATCCTAGATATCCTAGATACTATTATCCTAATTATAAAGTTCTTTAATATAAGTTTAATACTCACTCTTCTTTTTATTATAGATAGAATAGCTATAAGAACTAATATTAGGAGCTATTACTAGGGTTAATAGCTACTCTAATAAGCTTATAATTCTCTAGTCTCTAGTATATTAGATCTATAGGAGTTATAAGGAGTAAGTATTACGGGTATAGTAAATAGGTAATTAGGTAGATCCTATTATATAACTAGAGGTCGGTAATTATAGGAAGGTAATCCTTATTAGTGATTATAGGACTATAATTACTACTAGGTAATTATAGTATAGTAATTATAGAACTATAATAATTAGCTTTTATAAATCCTAATTTATATAATTAAGGATTATAATATATAGAGAACCCCTATATCCCCCCTTAATAAGGAGGGATATCTTAATATAATATTATTAATCGAGTATTTAAGATCTAAGATTATAGGTCCCTATAATTATAGTTATATTAAATAATAGTAATTAATTTTATAGGAGTTATAAGGGTTAGAGTCTTATAATTACTCTAGTAGCTTAAATAAAAGCTAAACTATTAAGAGGGCTTCACTACTTATATAAACCCTAATCTAGTACTTCCACTATACTTGCAAGCTCTGAATAGGTAGGGTATCTAATAAGTCTTATAATAGTTAATTCTTATATAATTCTTATCTACTCCTCTAAGTTACTACTACCTATATAAGTTAGATATACTTATCTACTCTTAGTGATTACGTAAGCTATAGTTTACGTACTCCTAGGAGTAGTAGATACTAGATAACCTAGATACTTTAAATATCGTTATTCTAATTATAGAATTCCTTAATATTAATTTAATACTAGCTCTTCTTTTCTTTATAAATAGAATAGCTATAAGGATTAATATTAAGAGCTATTATTAAGGTTAATAGCTATTCTAATACGCTTATAATTCTCTAGTCTCTAGTATATTAGATCTACTCTTCTAATCTTAAAATAAATAACTTAATATTAAGAAATAATAGGAAATAATAATTAGAAATAAGGAAAATATAGCTTAAGCTTATTATTCTTATAAATATTAGGCCTCTAATTCCTAGCGCTTTAGAGTAATAGTATTATCTATAAATAGCTCTCTAAGGAAATAAACTAAATTATAATTTAAATAATAGGAATAGGCCTCTAAATCCTAGAAATAAAGGAAATAAATTAAAATCTAATAATAAATAATACTTTTATAATTATTAAATATATACTCTTAAGGCCTCTAAATCCTTAATATATTAATAGAATATAATAGAATAATTATTAGCTTTTCGTAAAATCTATTAGAATAATTCTTAATAAATTAAATTACTTTTTAATAGGAATAATAGGATTAAACTACTTTAATTAAATAAGTTCTATAGAAGATCTATATATCTTATTAATAAATTTTAATAACTCTATTCTATT